TTGGCGGACTAAAGTCTAGCTCCATGATTCCCAAAGTGGTCTATATCGACCTCCAGTCCTGCTGTAACGTATAAGTGGTCTATGTCAAGGGAGTTCCATGTTAATCGGAGTTCACGAGGGTGGGACCTACTTAAACAGGTCGTTCCCAAAATTTTGCCTTTCCATAAATGGAATATTCCACATTACACAGGTAATACTCATGTATGTAATAATACCTATACATATTATGTGTTCCTTATAAGAGACATAAATTGCATTTCAAGAAAAACATTTCACAATAAAAAGGATATTATTGTTTTCGTTAAATGTACAAAATGTGTTTTTTTTTGTACCAAATGTTTTCGCTTTACAATTACATTTATCGAAAACACTCCTAAAAACACATCTGAAGTTGACGAATAAAAAGAAATCCATATTGGAAATGCAGGGGGTGTACGCAAAACAGAAATGGTGCGTGGTCTACGGGACAAGAAGTTTCGGTATCTCTGATCTAACTGAACCTTATCCTTAGAGGATACCCGTGTCTGGTGAACTAGCCGTATTGTGAGTGTCTACGTTTCGGCTCCGTATGTCACAATGGGTAGAACGCACTTATTGAAAACCTTTCTTTTCAAAGTTTGTGGTATGGGTTGTTGTAACACTGAGAATTGGTTGCTTATAAGAAAACATAGCGAGGAGAAAATTATCACTACTTTATCACGGCACCACTTTATTCATCTTCCGATGATCACAATCTGACCCGATATGACCGGCGATGGTACGCGTTTGTTTAAAAAGTGATTTTCGCCCCAATAACCCCAAATTGTAGTTATCGAGAAACACATGCTGGCAGTGTATTCAATTCTTTAGGTGTACCTACGCATTAAGGAGGAAGCAAGACGCTTCGTAGAGCTATCTGAATATTTTTTACGACCAAGCGATTTGAAAAAGACCCTGCGAGGGTGAAAGTGGTTTGAATTAAATACAGAATTTTCGGTTGCGTCAATTTGACCTTTGGTTTTGTTGTTTGTTTTTGTGGTGTATTGTGCACACGCATGTAAGAATATTATCAGCAAACAGTCACACAAAGTTATTTCAGTTTAAAATTTTACTTTCCTACATTAAACAATCATTTTTATGTGTTCATAAAGTACGATGTTTCTACGTTAAAAATTAGTCCATCTTTTCGTATGCAGAAATCAATGTATATTAGATAATGTACATATCATCGTCCAACTAGTGTATTAACAATAAGGCAGTTGTGATCGTCTGCCGGAACGCCTTTACGACCGGCGCGGGCGGCGGAGATTGCAAAAAATAAATCTCTTGCCAATCAATGTTTTTTTCTTCTAATATTCATCAGTGGTCTTTAACTCGTTAACCGTTTGTGTGTATTGATTTTGTTTTGATTACTTTAATCAGATGCTCTTTACTTTACACATATCAGTCAATTAGTAGATTAGAAGCTTCTAGACTAGAGTTTTGTCTTTGAACAACACGCATTTGAGCATTAGCCAATGATACTATGTTGATGGTGGCGCTATAAACTTCATCCGTTTGTCCATTAAAATTAACAACTAATAAAAAAAAAATGTCTCTGCTATTGACTCTTGTTGTCGTATAACTTGGATTCTAGGTGGCCCCGTAAATCAAACAATACAATAACTGCGCTCGCGCATCGCAGTAGTAAAACTCTTTTACGATCAGCTCCCGACAGAAATTATATCAACTGAAAACTGTTCAGTAACAACATTAACTTTGCGTTTTGATGGATTAGGAGCTTTTGTCTTTCTAATAGATAATGATGTGAGTTAGTTAATAATATAAATAATAAGCTACTTGTTTAAGTTTTTTATTTGTGATATCAAGTGCTGGGACGATCACATCGGGGGTCTGGTGGCAAACGACATGTTTTTTTTTATAAAATCAAGTGACAGGACGAACAAGTTGTTCGTAATATGGTAAGCTACACGCCTGTCCGTAACAGTTGCAGTGCCACTCAGAGCTTTTAATCGCTAAGATCTTAGGGGCACTACTACTGTGCCCGTCACCTTGAGACATAAGTTCACCAGCACCCTTACCCTTCGAAACCGGAACGCAGTAATACTCACATTATTCCTGCTTGGCGGCTGAAATAGGTAAGGAGGCAGCACTTCCCTGGGCGGCCTCTTTCACAAGGAGCTCTATTACTAATAATAATAAGGCACTGCAGCGCCCCCTATATTGAATACATAACGCATTGGTGTAAGGGGTGGGGTCGACAAGCGCCCGATAACAACTGACGTCGTTAAAGAACTGGGCAATTTTCAAATTTTGAGATACGTGTGAAATTAGGCTTCAGTTGAATATCAAAATTTAGCAGCTTCTCTGTAGTAGTTGAACAGAAATATCTATATAAAAATTCTGTGCAAAAAGTTAGATATTTTATTCTATTGGCTATTTAAAACACTTAGACGCATTGCGGACAAAACCTTACTCGATCAGTTGTATATCATCTTAGTTCAATTCATAATCAGTTATTGCATTGTTGTATGGAGTGGTGCTTGTAAATTCAAAAATTCTTGGAAGTCGAAAGGGGGCAACGATGTATTCTTAAGCTAATGTACTCATCTGAAAGGTTTTTCAGATTCCCCACCGACGAACTCTATCAATTTAGTGGTCACCTTACTATGAGAAAATTATACATCCTTTTCACTGTACTAAAGCTACATAAGTCCATTACTTTTGATCATTCACTCATGACCCGTAGAAGGAATTACATCGTTGCTCCTCAGCCTATTTCCAAATCATGGTTTACTGATAGGCAATTTGTAGTGAATTCGGCACGTACGTATAATACTATAAACAAAAAAATAAATATTTATCATCTATAGTGGTGCACTTGTAAAAAAGCTTTGAATAATTGGTTGGTATCAATCAACTGTGATGAAACGGAGAAAATATCCCACCCTTAAGGTACCATTACGATATTATTATTATTATATCTATCTTAGACTCTATATTATATCTATCTAGATATAGTGTATGTTGTTATTATTATTAGTATTATTATTACCTCATGAAGAATTATGTTACTCCGTACAAATTCTTCGACTTGTAACAATTTTTAGTACGACTTGTAACAATTTTTAGTACATCATTATATAAACCAATTAAGGTTTATTTCTGTATACTAGAGAATATTGGAAGAGCGGGTCTTCCTGATACAGGTAGATGATACCTACTAGGAAGATCCAATCGTGAACTCTATAAAGTTTTTATGAAAAAGAAATAGAAACTATTTTCAAAACTATTTTCATTTTTATTCGTGGTCGGGCGAAGAACATATACTATCTTGCAGCAATTTAGCACACTCTTTAGACAATATCCTTGGGTGTATCGTGAATATTTTTGAAGATTGTTATTTAATGGTAAACACCTAAATCGTTTGATCCAGTACAACAATTTTTCGCGCTTTTGAAACTAATTAAGGTACAAAAAATCGATTAGAGATTAGTTGGTCACAGATATGTTAATAACTCTATTTAGCTAAAAATGTAAATTACGTTATTTGTAATAAGGAGCACATTACTGCTAAATGAATTATAGAAATTTTATTTTATGAATATTATTTTGATTAAATGAAACTTATTGACCGACGAACAAGTGTGTACCTGGTGGTAAGCGACACACTTCTCCCTGTTTAGTTTTCGTTTTTGAATTTTCAATTGTAACCAAAATGAGAAGAGCTTTCATAGTTTCATTACGCGGTTTTAAAACATCTCTTTAACACTATGACAGTCCTTCTAACGGGTTTAAATTACACCTCTCTCTCATAAACATGAAGCTAAAGATTTACTGCAAGGCTTGCGTGCGTTTCGCCTATAAGTGACAATGAGTGATGCGAGGGGCAGGTGTTGCCCTCAGCGTACAACATCATGGATATTTACGATTGTATCCTTTCTCGTCACAAGTACGTAAAACATTTACTGTTGCTTGGTAAAGGGTACATTCAAAAATGTAAACGTTATATCTGTGACATTAATTTGAATGCTATGGAAACGAATTCATTAAAGAATGTTTACTATTTATGAATGTAAATGGTGACATATATAAAACAAAGTATATTGTAAAATTTTCCGTAAAGTAGCTTTGTTTATGTGAAGGCATAACTATTAGTAACCACATCAATTACCTGGTCTCAAACTAGGGCAGGGTTTCGTAACTTTTTTCTAGTCATCCCTCTCAAAATGTTAAAGAGTCCACGAACCCTTTCCGAAAAGATTAAAAGCTAGGTTTAGCTTTTAATAGCTTATATTGTTTGCGGTTAAACTTTACTTAATTACATAATTATATAGTTAGGTAGGTTTGCCACCGACCATAGGTTAAGAAATTATGGAACTGTACTAGGGAATTCCCTGTTCTATGAGTAGTATAGCAACGGAATTTCTTTGGCACTTTCCAGAACACCCAGATCAAAACCAATTTAAGTAAGTTCATTTCCCAAATTGAACCTGCCGGGTATCGAACTCGGAACCTCCGTATCCAGCGCCACGACAGTTAATGTCTTCTCGAGATAAAGACAAGGACGATGTTTTACGTTCTGGTCGTTGTATAACTACACTTTTCACCAAACCAATCAACAATGCTTAGAACGGGTTTATAAATGAAAAACATCCATTGTCGGCTTGAGGATAGCGGGATTTATCAATGGCTGCGCCTGCGCTGGTGCGCCCGATCAGTTACCGCCACGCAGTAATGGCGGGATATTTTATCAGTGACCGACTGCGATTGATGAACGAATTTGCTTAGATCCTTAGTTTGTCTATGTGTTTAGAATAATCGCTACAGGCCTGGTGATAAACAAAGTTTGAAATTGCATAGGTATACTGTGCAATTTCCGAAATCCGTAACTAAAATTTAGAACCTTTTTGGGATCGTTGTTGTTGTTATTTAAACAACATTCATTGTTTGAAATATTGATGTTTGTTACGCCTTTGTCTACTTAATGTTTATTAATTGAACGTTTCTTTCATTTTCAGATTCAAGTGCTGTGATAGTTATGGAGTAGAGGTGAAACAACGTAAGTGCATTTGCTTCTGCTATTAGCGATGATATTCTGATTGTTATATACTTAGCTTTGATATTGGAAATCTCATCGAACCCAGGTCATTGAAACAACAAACTGAATTGTACCACTGAACAGTGCTTCACCTTCTCAGCAGTCAACACAATCATTCCCATTCACCCAAGAGTCTCGTTTCGGCACGTCAAAATACAAATTAGTTAATTCCAAGAAGACTATTTGTAGCTAGTGTTAGGCTCCGGCGTCACTCACTCGCTCGTTATCGGTGACGGACGGACTGACAGACGGACGGACGATGACATGGATGTGGTAATAAAGAGACTGGTTTATGCATTTCCTAGTTTTAATGGAGTTAGTGAAATTGTTATAGAGATGTCTTTGATGCGTGCAGTACGAGTGTCTTCCTTATTGTCAAAACGATACAAAGAACAAAAGGAGGTGTTTTCTGTCTCAAATCTCTAAATCTATCAATTGCCACTTATATGATCATGGCGAACTTTTTTTGCTTCACTTAAATTCGGCAGTCTTTTCTTTTAAGCCTTTTTAAAAACATTCTCGATTTACAACCTTACCTTCCGCGTTGGTTCTATATATCTCATTTGCCACTGTCCTTCATTCCTTCAATCAGACTCACTAACATGAAAGGTTTTTTAGGAAGCTCATTTTTGCAGCAATTATGTCCATTCTTAACAAAGTTTAATACAACCTGAAATGTTTATTTTAGTGATGAGGATCGAACAGGAATAGGTACTAAAACGACTTTAAAAATACTACAGTCATCTTTCATTGAGGCGTATGTACCACAAGTGTCTACACTACTGTCTAAGTAAGTGTCTACTACACTAGCTATAAGTTCACAATGACTGAATGCGAGCGATCGATTGATATCGTTTAATTATTTGCAGTCTTCGAAGTTTGTACTTGTGCTACGCATGACCTATTGTGGTATTGCAGAAGAACGATGTCTATAGTAACTACGGTATATCGTTCCGAGAATCGCATATTTTCGGCTAGTGTTCTGTTGCATGATACACAATACTGTAAAGGTAAACAGAATACAGAATCGCCATCATTATGATCATCAATCCATTACACGTCTGTAAGGTGACGGGTCTTCGTCTAAGGAGATGGTTGAAGACTTCATAAGTTTCCCAAGGGTTCTTCGACTTGTAGGTTTCATATCGATATTGTGTTCTTCACCGTTAGCAATTCACAAATGTAAGTAAGTCAATAGGTACACGCGCCACCGGTATTCGGACGTCCACTTCTCACTTACGAAGCATCCGTTCTTCTATTGGTGTACTAAAACAAATTGACGCTCTAAAAAGACAGCATTTTATATTTATTATATGTATAATATGGTAAGGATTTGTAACAACTCAACTGAATTTCTTATACGTTATTCAATAACGTTTGTTATAAATATAAACGATTCTTAAATCTTGACATCAAAATATACTTAAAATTTTGTATTAGGTACAATTATACTTGTGATGGATTGTTTACTGCATTTGACGCATAGTCTAATGCCTTTAGTCTTTGCAATCTGAACCTCCGCTTCAAGATTTTCCCCGATAAAGTATATCGTTTCAGGGCTCTCCCATTTGTGTGCAAGTTTGATTTTCTGCGTCCGTATCCTTGACTTCTACAACGTTAAATGATAAACTGTCACACAAGTTTCGCACAGCAAAGCGATGACTTATATGTAAATAGTGAATTCCACTACTCCACTATTGTATTTCTTCAGACAGTGATGTGTGCACAATTAGCTTGGACGAGCAATCGACACCGCTTAAATAATTAATGGAACAGTCGCTCGCATGTCGTTCTCTTAGTACTGATTGCTATTTTAGGAGACGAGAGGTGAAGCCTGCAGCTCCAGATTGACAACGATGCTGCACGCTTGGCATTTCAGATGTTTGATGGTTATTGTTAGAAATGCAATGAATGAGAGACTATCTTTGTCCTTAATATAGGGATTATTGTCGTGTCATACCCGCCATTGTTACTGATTTTGTTGTTTACATTTCGCATTGATTTGTTAACAAGTTATTTCAATAATTTAACATGTTATATATATGAGAATTAGAGACAAATACCTGCCTTTATCTAACTTTAGTATCAAGTCTGAATCAAAAATAATTAAAACATCTTCAATCTAATTCTTCACTCTAGAAGTGACAGTTGCAGCTGTCAGGCGGTTAATAAATTCGGGCAGCGATATTTCTGTGCATGTCAATCAGACGCACGGGCAAGGGATCGGTAATTGTAATCCAAGATTTGTCTCTAGTTTGTTATAGTTCTATTCACTTATTTGAAACGTAATACTCTGATAAATCTGTCCACCGCTGTTGTCCAATGGTAAATTGAAGTGACATTAGCAGAAGCACACGTCATGGCATCCTCCTCGAATGAGAAGACACCCATTCGTCAGATTGATGTGAGCCACAGTGGCTGAATAAATGACCTTTAAGTTTTTTAAACCCTAAACGCATTGTCCTTTAAATAATTCCGCAAACTTTGATGTACGATCCTCAACCAATCAATATATCATTCGATCGCGTTGACGGCATCGACATTAAGGATCTTCCTCCAGCAAAGGGCATAGGCCTCAGACACATTTGTCCTCATAAACAGGACGGCCAGGACATGTTCAATTATTCAGGCGACATGTCTTCGAGCGTGCTTAGCGACCGTTGTATTTATGGATTGTTTTAGATGTTGGAATGGCGGAGATGTTTTTATTATCAGTGTAATACGTAGTGTATGGATGTGAGCACGACGAAAAGGTCAACTTATGGGGAAAATCTTGCCAGATTAAGGATGGTCCTAAAAAGACCATGATAGCTAATCGTCTGATATAAAAATTAGACCTTCTAATTCCCATTTTCTGAGTTTCCATTTAGGAAATCCAAGAACAAGTTCCGAAAACGCATAAGAGATTGCCTTGCAACTTTCAGACTATTTTTCATTTAAGACTTGAGTTTAGTCGAGAGTGGTTGTAATATTTGATGCGAGAAGCATAATTTGTTAGAGTCCTAGTGAATGAGATCCGTAGAACGTAGAACCTAATCATAGTAACAGAGACAGCAGGAGTGTCAGTTCGTGTTTGATGTAAGAGACAAATGTAGACGTAATTTATATATTTCCTGCGTTACAAAGCAGATAAATCAGTGTGTTTTTTGTTATATCAAGTGACGGGACGAACAAGTTGAAGGGAAGAACAGTTGGTGGTAAGCGACACAACTGTCCTTACAAGTTGCAGTGCAGCTCAGAGCTTTAAATCGCAAAGATGTGAATAAGTTGACAAGTCCCATGCGTCGGTTTTAAAACAATCGACTTAATGATGAGTCGAAAGAGATCGATAGTAGTGTACAAGAAACCTGCTGCAGCAACAGAGCCGGTATCACACTATTAACTTGGGTGTTGACCCGAACTTAACTCTTATAATCAACAAAGTCCCGCAATACTTTTTCATTTAATTTTTATTAAAAGATCTAGTGTAGGTACACAATTTTTCACGCGGCATGCGAGTTTGACAAGTTCCATGACAGGATCTTGTTTTACACGTCTGCTACTTTGGTATTTTATGACAAATTTTAGTCACAAACATAGTAATTTTTAGTAATATTAATTACCAGTTTTCAAATATCTAATAAGAAGATAAACTGGTTTTTAACGTCATTGAGCAAGATCTCTTCGTACTGGGAAGTAATAAAGATTAATTTAGAATTTAATCTAGATTAAATGGATGATCCATCAAACAACTGTGGGAAAAAAATACGATTTATTTGGATACATATTCAACTTAGTTAAACTCAGGCGTCCATTGTTGTGTATGGAATTCCCTTATGATTGCGAAAACTTTGGTTGATGGCGAAACTTTTGAGTGCTTGATATTTCATAACTGTGTTTTGAAAATTAACTTTTTAACTATAATTTAGTTACTTTTCCGTTCCTGATAATGCGGGTGTGAATTGTACTGTCGTCATTATCATTAGCCCATTGTTCTCCAAATAAACGGCTTAAGCCGTAATCCGCCACACTGACCATTGGGTTTGTTGGAACTTAACACGTTTTCCATGACTTGTGACCCTTTTTCGACTTGCTGGTTTCATCAAGATATTTTCCTTCACAGCTAACGAGAGGTGTTGCTCCTAAATATTCATAAATATAGGTAATTTACAAATTTAGGTCTTATGTACCTGCTTCTACATGATTCGGAACCATCTGACCTTTTCATCATTTGCCAAAATTTTACTAGATCGTGATGTTAAATCCTGAGCATTATAGTGCGTTGCTTTATGCAAATAAAATTTAAAAAATGTCAAATTCTCTTGCTTTTTTAAAGTTCTTATTAAAGAAATACGAACGATGGCTAAAGAAACTATTTTTAGAATAGTTTGTTCTACTAAATTTGCATGAGAAGGTACCATTAGAACTGTTCCGTGTTTTTAATAATTTTGGTGAATCATTGCAGTTATATGTTTTCTTCTATTATGTAAAGTTGAAATTTGGAACTACTTGCTAGAGGCGTTGTAGTCAATATATTTATTTCTTAATATAAAATTATGTTAATGTGCGCATAATAAAAATAATATCTGGTAAAACGGGTCACTAAACACATACATTTTTCCAACAAGTTGCCATTACTGAAGTTTGAGTAACGTATATCATAATTATGAGACGTTTCTATGTCATCACATCGTTTGTGATTATGAAATAAGTCTGGTGGACTCATTTCGTGTACATAATATACTTGATATTCATTCATTATGTCAATAGACACATATTTAGTTGCATAGAAATAATAATCAAGTTAATTTTTGAGGCATTCTTAAAGTTACTATATACAGAGTGCCACAGGGTAGATTTCTAAGTCCATAATAATTTGTTTAACACGGTAAAACGACGACATTAACGGAAAGTTTTGTTATATAGCTGAGTCATTGCTTTATGTATAAGATTACTATGTGCTTTTTTATATGTATCAAATT